GCTTTCTACTTTTTTTTTTCTCGGGAAAAAATCACCAGTTATGGATTGAGTATCCAGTAAACTTTAAACAAATAGTTAACCTAAATTCTAAAAACTAAAGCTCAGAGAAATTGTGATGTTCTATCATTGTTGAATCCCTCAAAGCATGGGTTTGGGATTATGAATCCTAATCCCTTTTATCATGCCCAATTTGGTTATTATTTTGTGCAGTCCCAATTATGAGCTAATTACAAAGCATTTATGTATTCGCAAAAAGTGATATTATTTTTTTTTTAAAGAGCAGAATGATTGTATTTGAGTGGTATTTGATAGGCAAAAGAAAAAGAAACTTCTAAAAAAAAATGTTGCAACTTGTTTGTGTTCATGTTCTGGGGAAGATATGTCTTTGCCTGGAAGTGACGAAGCTCCCAAGTCATGGTTAAATACTGGGTATGAGGTGGAAAGGTAATGCTTAGGAAGAGATTGCAGTCGATGTCCTGGCTGAGTTGTGCCTGGTGAATCGCAGGGAGAGGTTTGGACAGAAGGAAAAAGCAGGTTTTGAATCTGGAACAAAAACTTGAGGATTTATGTATTAGAATAATAGAATGGTTCAGGTTGGAAGGGACCTTAAAGATCATCTAGTTCCACCCCCCCCGCCATGGGCAGGGACACCTCCCACTAAACCAGGTTGGCCAAAGCCCCATCCAGCCTGGCCTTGAACACTTCCAGGGATGGGGCAGCCACAGCTTCTCTGGGCAACCTCTTCCAGTGTCTCACTACCCTCAGAGTGAAAGATTTCTTCCTGATACCTAATCTAAATCTACCTTCTTCCAGTTTGAAGCCTTTACCCCTCATGCTATCACTATATGCCCTTGTCAGAAGTCCCTCTCCAGCTTTCCTGTAGGCTCCTTCAGATACTGAAAGCTGCAATAAGGTCTCCCTGGAACCTTCTCCAGGCTGAACAACCCCAACTCTCTCAGCCTGTCCTCATAGGAGAGGTGCTCCAGCCCTCTGATCATCTTCATGGCCCTCCTGTGGACCCGCTCCAGCAGGTCCCCGTCATTCTTGTGCTGTGCTGAGAACTCCAGAGTGGACACAGTGTCCAGGTGGGGTCTCACCAGAGCAGAGTAGAGGGGGAGAATCGCGTCCCTTGACCTGCTGGCTGTGCTTCTTTTGGTGCAGCCCAGGATGTGGGTGGCTTTCTGGGCTGCCAGCGCAGCCACAGCTTCTCTGGGCAACCTCTTCCAGTGTCTCACTACCCTCAGAGTGAAAGATTTCTTCCTGATACCTAATCTAAATCTACCTTCTTCCAGTTTGAAGCCTTTACCCCTCATGCTATCACTATATGCCCTTGTCAGAAGTCCCTCTCCAGCTTTCCTGTAGGCTCCTTCAGATACTGAAAGCTGCAATAAGGTCTCCCTGGAACCTTCTCCAGGCTGAACAACCCCAACTCTCTCAGCCTGTCCTCATAGGAGAGGTGCTCCAGCCCTCTGATCATCTTCATGGCCCTCCTGTGGACCCGCTCCAGCAGGTCCCCGTCATTCTTGTGCTGTGCTGAGAACTCCAGAGTGGACACAGTGTCCAGGTGGGGTCTCACCAGAGCAGAGTAGAGGGGGAGAATCGCGTCCCTTGACCTGCTGGCTGTGCTTCTTTTGGTGCAGCCCAGGATGTGGGTGGCTTTCTGGGCTGCCAGCGCACATTGCTTGCTCGTGTTGAGCTTCTCATCCACCAACATCCCCAAGTCCTTCTCCTCAGAGCTGCTCTCAATCCACTCTCTGCCCAACCTGTATTTGTGCTTGGGATTGCCCTGACAAGATGCAGGACCTTGCACTTGGCCTTGTTGAACTTCATGAGGTTGGCGTGGGCCCACCTCTCAAGCCTGTCCAGGTCCTGGAAAGCATCCCTTCCCTCCAGTGTATAGACTGCTCCACAAAGCTTTGTGTCATTGGCGAACTTGGTACATGTCTCTTAATCTTGATCCTCTGTCTTTACTTTGTGTTAAGGGAGATTTCATTGTAGCTGGTAAAATTATTTTGTTCCCAACAGCCCTTGAAATCAAGGTACTGGGCCAGTACTGGTTGGAGTCCTCAGTACACAACAAGAGTGCTGCAATTTTCCCGGTGTTAAGAGCACATCTCACCACTTTGCCACATGAGTGGGTATGGAAGTTGGTAACAGACACGTATATATTTAAAAAAAAAAAAAAAAAGCCTTTACCCCTCATGCTATCACTATATGCCCTTGTCAGAAGTCCCTCTCCAGCTTTCCTGTAGGCTCCTTCAGATACTGAAAGCTGCAATAAGGTCTCCCTGGAACCTTCTCCAGGCTGAACAACCCCAACTCTCTCAGCCTGTCCTCATAGGAGAGGTGCTCCAGCCCTCTGATCATCTTCATGGCCCTCCTGTGGACCCGCTCCAGCAGGTCCCCGTCATTCTTGTGCTGTGCTGAGAACTCCAGAGTGGACACAGTGTCCAGGTGGGGTCTCACCAGAGCAGAGTAGAGGGGGAGAATCGCGTCCCTTGACCTGCTGGCTGTGCTTCTTTTGGTGCAGCCCAGGATGTGGGTGGCTTTCTGGGCTGCCAGCGCACATTGCTTGCTCGTGTTGAGCTTCTCATCCACCAACATCCCCAAGTCCTTCTCCTCAGAGCTGCTCTCAATCCACTCTCTGCCCAACCTGTATTTGTGCTTGGGATTGCCCTGACAAGATGCAGGACCTTGCACTTGGCCTTGTTGAACTTCATGAGGTTGGCGTGGGCCCACCTCTCAAGCCTGTCCAGGTCCTGGAAAGCATCCCTTCCCTCCAGTGTATAGACTGCTCCACAAAGCTTTGTGTCATTGGCGAACTTGGTACATGTCTCTTAATCTTGATCCTCTGTCTTTACTTTGTGTTAAGGGAGATTTCATTGTAGCTGGTAAAATTATTTTGTTCCCAACAGCCCTTGAAATCAAGGTACTGGGCCAGTACTGGTTGGAGTCCTCAGTACACAACAAGAGTGCTGCAATTGGGTTAGGAAAGTGGGAAAAAACACGTATATATTTAAAAAAAAAAAAAAAAAAGGATGGGGGAGGAGAGAGAGAAGAAAATCCTGTCTTCTCACTCAGTAGTGAGCTAGTCAACCAAGAGCAGAATGATGGGAAGAATCCTGAGCCTTTACCTGTATTTGTGCTTGGGATTGCCCTGACAAGATGCAGGACCTTGCACTTGGCCTTGTTGAACTTCATGAGGTTGGCGTGGGCCCACCTCTCAAGCCTGTCCAGGTCCTGGAAAGCATCCCTTCCCTCCAGTGTATAGACTGCTCCACAAAGCTTTGTGTCATTGGCGAACTTGGTACATGTCTCTTAATCTTGATCCTCTGTCTTTACTTTGTGTTAAGGGAGATTTCATTGTAGCTGGTAAAATTATTTTGTTCCCAACAGCCCTTGAAATCAAGGTACTGGGCCAGTACTGGTTGGAGTCCTCAGTACACAACAAGAGTGCTGCAATTTTCCCGGTGTTAAGAGCACATCTCACCACTTTGCCACATGAGTGGGTATGGAGGTTCCCCAGGCGAGCTTGTATTATCCAGGAGAAAATTAACCTGAATACACATGACATGCCAGTATGCATATCGGGTAATTGAAAGAGCTGGTACAACACATGTTTGTATAGCAGTCCATTTCAGTTTCTTTTAGTTTGTATACGTCCTGTGTGTATAATGGATATATATGCTACATGTATAGTAGGATATACATGGTTATATGAGTAAGCAGGTGAATAGAGAAAGTATGGCCAGTATGCTGGAAGCCGTGACTGAAGCTGAAATGGAAACCATTCTCTTCATTATTGAAAAAGTGGGATGGTATCACAGTGCAGTTTCTGTCACTGGAGTAATATCACATAAAATGCTTTGTGTGTGGAGTTGTGCTGTTGACATAAAAAAAATCCAAGAATAATTACACTGTAGTCTCTTTATAAAGCATTATATTAATATTTTCAAAGTGGATATATGCAAATGACTCTCCAAACCTGGCTGGTTTATTGCATGTTGTGCTCAAGAGGGACTTCTGTGCTCAGTAGTGGGCTCACTCATTTATTTACCCCTTAGTAAGGGTCTGTCCTTTTCCCTGCCCCTTCTCTTTTTCTGTCTTGACTCTACAATTAATGAATGAGAATGTAATTTTTAAGACATTTCTTCTGAGTTTCTGGCTGCTCTTAATGACAGGATTTATGTTGTGTTGTTTGTTTGGGGTGGGGTATGTGGTGGGGGGGTGTGCTTTGTTTTTACCACTGTAGCTGCTGGGTAGTTCGTCACTGTGAGGACTCCTATAAGGGAAATGTATCCATCATTAACCAGGGCATAGGTGTAACCTGGTCAGTGATGGATACAATTCCATTATTGTAAAAGGTGTTTCCTTTACAGTATGTAAAACAGCTGTTAATGAATGTACATCAGTAAGCATGTTTTCTATGGCTGTGGATGCTTGGCTGTCAGACGGCCATAATATTGTGAAAAGATCTACTTTGATCTGTTCAGCCTTATGATATCTCTATAAAAATTCTAATGGTAAGAGTAAAATTATAAAACTGACCATTTGCTGTAAAATTCTGAATGAACCTAATGCTATTATTTAGCATGTTTTGTTTTGTGGTTTTAGGCAAGAAGGGGAAAAAAAAAATTCTAGGTAATGGAGCCAAATTCTTTTGGATTTTATGAACTTGACTCTCATTCCCCTGCCCCTCAAAAAATCCCAGAGGACATTATAGTTTCATTGAAGTGCATGGGAAAGCTTCTACTGGCTTCACTCAGGCCTGAAATTAGTTAAAATTATTACTTGAATTTCCCTTCATTTGATAGTGTGTTCACTTCATGTACCTGTATTAAGTGCAGCATTTCTTGTTCATTATGCTTTCAGTGCACGCACACTACATGCAAAAACCTTTCTAGTGTTTGAGACTGGAATGTGTATTTCTCTTTGCATTTGTAGGAAGCCAATTGTTATTACCCATTTGTTGAGTGAACATTAAAATCTCTTTTTCCTAGGAGCCATCATTTGAGATGCTGCCGTTGACTGGGAAAACAATAATATTTGATAGCTTTCCTGATCCTTCAGATACCTGGGAAATAGTTGAGACTATTGGCAAAGGAACGTATGGAAAAGTTTTCAAGGTGTTAAATAAGAAAAATGGCAGCAAAGCAGCAGTCAAAATTTTGGACCCTGTTCACGTAAGCTACTTAAATTACTTGGTTTGTGCTTATTTAGTTGTAAGTGAATTTATGTAGTCTTTTTTTGTTTTCATCTTGGTAGATCATTTGCATTAGAAGTGGTAGTGAAATAAACTGCTTCAACTTATTAAGTATCAGGCTAGCTATCAATGCATTGTTCATGTTGTAAGTGATCTTGGAAGTGGTTGCAGAAGGTAGAAGTCAGTAGTATACCTAAACTTTGATACTTTTGGTTCCCCACTGTTTATCTCCTACTTTCAGAAGCAGAGCTGATTATTTTCCTTTTCAGTACGAGGAGTCCTTGCTGCTTCTGTTTTTACTGTTGTTCCCTTTCCTTTTTTTTTTAAACATACTAGCCAGTAAGAAAGTTACATACTTTTAAGTGCTTTAGATGTACCTTCAAGCATCTATTTTAAGTACATGCTTTTAGTTGAGTTACATGCTTTGAGTGATACTTTAAAAATAAAATAGCATACCTTATTGTTATTGTTGGTTCTGCATTTTCAGAATGTGCCAAAATACGTAGTTATCACAGAGGGATTCGTATTTTCAAACGGAAAATTCAAAGGCAATAGCTCCTACACACAAAGCACCAGGTGACCGGGAGGTGGAATTATTACGTTGTAGATTGTTTTTGTTCTCAATAACTGACGTTTGTTGGGTGGCAGGTTAATGCTCAAAGAGTAAGGAAGAGCATACCAATGCTCTGGTTTGTAAAGGCATACCCCATTGACTTCAGCGGTGCTGCGTGTGGCTTGGGCTTTCCCTTGAGAACAGTAACTCGCAAAACATGGACAAGGAGATGTTCCTGTTTCAAGTGGCCCCATTGAGCTCATCTTTTACACTCCAGTGTAGAGTTGTGAGGCATGTGCTTCCATTGTGTGACCTGTGAGCAGGAAGGGAAGAGCACGCCATGCCCCATGCAACGCTGCAGGTCTGGAGCTACACAGCCACACGGGGCTCTTGTCTATCCCTGCATATCAAGCAGTGTCTAATTATGATCCCGTGACCCATAAGTCCATGAAATGTGTTTATGAAAACATAGCGTCTTGCATTATCTTTGCTGTGTTTCTTGTTGATCTGCTTTTTATTTTGGCATGCTTTCAACGCAACAAAAATAGGCTCATCTCAATTCAATATCATGCACCTCTCCCAAAGTAAACGTGATCTGCAGCCAACTGATAAGGATCTTGATGAATTCAAATGCATTGGAAGCTCTATTTTTGACTGTGTTGCTTTCTGTAAACAGGGTTCTTGTGCTTACAATAGGCAGGATTTTCTTGCAGTTGGTGTTCCTAAATGCCTGTATGGCAGGAAATGCTTCTGCTTTCATCTATTTCACAAGTGCTGAGGAACGGTTATTAAGTGGCAGCTGGTTATGGCAGGGATTACTGATGGCATGGGGGGAACTTTCAATTTTGTGTACACTTTGGAGGTTGCAGGAAAAGGATAAAAGATGATGACAGGAAGAAAGAAGAGGTAGTAAAGCTGATGCTAGAGAAAAGAGGAATAGATTAAGTAGGAGATAAGGGAGTAGAAGACAGAAGGAATACAATGTATGAAGATGCAACATAAGAATTGAAGGGAAAGGTATAACTGATTAGAACAGATTCCTTATTTTAATGAAAGATTGGAAATCAGTAATGCAGTCAATGTCACACTCCAAGACCTGAATCTTTTAGCTGAATATATTCTCCTTTTAGTTCTAAGACTACTATTCTTCTTTTCCCCCTCCTATTTACAGGGTGACTGGAGTGGCTGCTGTACCTCCATGTTACTATTAAAATGGCAATGCTATACTAGAAATAGGGTGAAAGCAATAAACTAGTTCTTTTTGTTTAAACTGAAAGTATTATTAATGGCTGCAGAGGGAGCCATTGCCATGAATAAAAAGATACTTTCTGTATTTTCTTCTTTAAATTTTACGATTTTTTTTCTTTGAAGATGGTTTCAGAATTGTGCCACTTGAGAGGTGGACTGAAAAAAAACAAGCAGAAGAAATGTGGTTTTGTATCACTTGGTTTAACTGATATTTCCAAATTAAACTGGGGAGCTACATCATCATGAGTGATGTGAGACTGAAATAAGCATTTCATATTTAATCCTTTAGAGCTCTCAGATTCTTTGTGTTGAATAACAGCTTAGCTTTTTGAAACTGAAATAGAAAAGTGAAGGTGTTGAAATGAGAATATATGAAGATGGAACTGAGAATTCTCTTAGTCTTGTCCCCAGGGCTCTAAGTAAAATACCACTGTGCTGAGTTCGCATGAAAATATTCCCTCTACTGCTTCTAAAAGAGATATTCTTATGCAGGTAAATATGTAAAGTTCAGCCAAATATTTCTAGTTTTCTTCCTTTGTAATATACAGAGGAAGATTTTTTTTTTCTTTTAGTATGCACAGAATGAATATTCTATTCATTTCATTCTCTCTCTTTTCATTTCTCCTTATAATAGTAAAAATCTCATAAAATCTGAGTACCCCTCAGGAGATGGAAACCTCTATTAAATCACAGTAGGACAGTGGGCTAATTCTCTTCCAGTTTCCCCAAGGCAGCCGGGTCTATTGTGTGTTTTGTGTATAGTTTTTTGGCTCTCAAAACTGTTTTTCATGGTTTGGTTGGTTTTGGGGCTTTTTTGGCTTTGTGGTCTGTCGTTTTGTTTGTTGGTTTTGGGGCTTTTTTGGCTTTGTGGTGCTATTTTCTTGCTAGATGCATTTTCTTGTTCATCCCTCCTTATCTTCTACTCTTTCCCTTCCCTTCTATGTCACCTTCAGTGCCTTGGTTCTTTCTTCCTTGTAATCTCAATATGAAAGTTTAATAGCCCAGTTCCTCAAGATGCTGGTGATGGGCAAAGTTCTTTGAGACCAGTCAAGCTGATATCAAGGCAAAAGGCTAATATGAGGATCTTGAGTTGGATTTAGCATTGGAGAGATCTGTATAAGAAACAAGTGAGCAAAGTTCTTTTAGGGGCAGATGCCTTGTTGAACAAAATGAGGAGGAGTGTCGTTCATCAGGAATACAAAGCTTCCCTTGTCTCTGCCATGGTCACTTTTATTTGGCAGGAGTGAGACAGGTTTTCAGCAGGTTGCTTTTCATTGATATGAAATCCATTCATGTGGGTAGCAGAGTTCATAGGTAGCCTTCCTCTAGAATTGATTTTTCATTTCTGTTTGGTTTTTTGGGTGGGTGTAAATAGCAAGTCTTTTGAAAAATGTTTTAAATCTGGAAACAAGTATGTTAACATTTTTTTTTTTTTTTTGAGATCTAAACAATAGGGGAAAACAAGTTAACAGGACCAAGATTTGTAGCCCTGCAATGGTACATTGATATTCTGTTTGATTTTTTCTTTGCATTATTTCCAACTACATTTGAGTAGCCAGAAAATGCTATATGTTGAGTTTTTAAAATGGCTGTTATTATTTACTTATTAACTGCTGTGTGTTTCTCCTTTGTGACGCTAGGATATTGATGAAGAAATTGAAGCCGAGTACAACATTTTGAAAGCTCTCTCTGATCATCCCAATGTAGTCAAATTCTACGGCATGTACTATAAGAAAGATGTGAAAAATGGAGATCAGCTTTGGCTAGTTCTTGAGGTAAATAATCCAGAAAAGTAAGAGTTTTCTTCCAGTGGGCATTCCTATGTTGAGTATAAACTCAATGAATGAGATGCAAATAATTTGTTACATGTTTTTCTTTAGAGTGGTTGCATGTGAAGTGATAAATGCTGTTGTTTAGTCTTTTCAGTATTCTGAATTAATGGGCTGCTCTGAATTCAGCATTCTTATTTTGATATTATACTGATACTGCTGCTCCCTTAGAATTTGGATAGAAATTCTATTAGGAATTCATAGGATTTGCTACCTAAAATTTTTTTTTGGTGAAAAGCTTGTATTGGGCATCTTCCTTCAGTAGCATTTATTGAAATATGACTAAGATGTGACATAACAGTTAAAGAAACTGCTAGATGATATTTTTTTTCTGAATGAAATGATAGAAATTAATTAATTGAATAGGGTTTTTTGTGCAAGTAAACGCACAAATAGATGAACAAGCCAATAAAAACAGGCAGCAGGATTTCCTCAAATGAAGTCAGAGCAAAATAAGCCTGTAATTTGTGTGTTTCAGTCTTTATTTTTGACTAATCTAGGAGCAAAGAGCTTGGTTGTTACTGTTTTCATATATTCACTATAACCTATTCTGCAAAAAACTTTCTCCTCTCCCCAGAGGAAAGTGAAGAAGTATGTCTCTGACAGGAATAGTTTCCTTTCATAACCGTAAAGGCTCTTGCTGATGTTTGATCAGTGTTAGATAAAGTTGAGATTGAAGAGCTGGTTATATTTTATGATTTGTCTACTGAGTGAATACAAAACTTCTGCCAAATATCTCAATGATACAATAGCAGCTAATCCTGGAAGCAAGCTCTAAAAAATGTTTAAGTTCTAAAAGCTTTTCCAAATTCTTCTGACTTGCATTGGGAAGATGTTTATAAGAATAGTTTGCATTGGAAATCGTGATAAATTATTAGGTTAGACTGACATCAAAAGATACCAGCTCTTTGTGCAGTGGCTGCCTTTGAAAATCTAGCTTCTGTTGTGGCTGCTGGGCATTAGAAACTCCATCTGTGAAACTTCTGGCCTTTACAGGATGGATGTCAAACAGCCAGGATGGAGAAGACTGTGAGGAAACAGTCAAGTGTTTATATTGTAACTTCTATATTTCACATGGATTTATTTTCTTAATGTAAAAAACACAAGCCTACATCTGTAGTATAAGCCAAGTTGTACATGTGCAATTGCTAGTATGGAGTGTGTGGAATAGTCCTGGATGCTTTCTGTCACTGCAAATGTAGATCCATGAATGCAATGGATTTTAGTTGGTGTTTGTACACATAGATATGCATAACTAGAAACAGAAATTCCAGTGGTAACTTTGATGAAGCTTTCCTTTTAATGAAGGTGTCTGGGAAAGAAAACTGTCATGGAACAGATTCCTCTGTTGAAGTGTCACCTTCCTTTTGGGTTGTATGCCACTTTACATGGCTGTTGCAGTTTCTTTTTCACAGTAGCTATTTAGGTGTCCTACAGTTTACTAGAATGAAGATATTTTTATCTTCTCCATTCTGTTCTGTTGGGGGTTTTTGACAATATATTTGGGTCTAAATTCATAGAGCTGGTGACTAGTCTTTACTTTAGCTCTGTTCAATTGCTTTGATTTTGGGGTGGGTTTTTTATTTATTTTACCTTAAGAAAGCATTTTCATTTCTAAACTGTTCCTTCCCCTGAAGAGGGGAATCCAGTCTTGAAAGTTAGATTTGTAGAGTTTTATACTAAGGATGAGATCTTTCTTATTTCCTTTTCTCAAAAAAAGCTATTAACTAATCCCTGCAAATTCTTTTAATCCTCTGAAATGAAGGTGGACCTTTTGCAGTCAGTACCCAGTCTGTAGATACATTCCCAAAGAGTGGAAGGACGAAGAGTGTACGCCACTGCAGTTTGCATAATCTCAAGCAGCTTCCATGGTACATGAATGCAAAATGATGTCAAGGAGGAAAAGTAGAGAATCAAATGCAGACTACTGTGCACTGTAGTATTCTGGATTCCTGCAAAGCTGTAGCTGCCAGGAAGAGCCTACAGGGCAGTGGAGCACTGAAAACAGAGCTTGTTGCTCTGTTCCGCTTTTGTCTTCTGTGGTGAGATCTGTGGGTGGGAGATCTTGGAGGGAAAGTTTCTCAAATTCCACTAGGAATGTGTTGTGATAGATGGCAAAACTCAGCGTTTAGTAATGGGCTTAGAGCCACTGCTGTAGTTTACCAACAAAGTTAATCTGTGGAGTGTCTGAATCCATATATGTAGATGTTATTAAATCATTTTTTCCTAAATGAAAAAAATCCTCAGCTCTTTAAGATGTGTCCCGTGCAACGTATCAACAGCAAGCCAGTTGAGAAAGAAAGATTCTTGCCAGATTTCTTTTCTCCTAGTTCATTCTTCAGCATTGGTTATATGAACTGTACTGTTCCATTCTTACACCTTTTTGTGTATATATAATGTGATGATTTTTGACGTAACACATGGTTTTTGGTAGCTGTTTTGTATTGCTCTTGATCACGTTTGGGTTTTGGGGAAGAGGGACTAATCAGGTTTGAACTAGGCTAAGGTAAGTGGCTGAGGTAGAGTTTTGAGGCCAAAACCGACCAAGTAGCTAAAAAGACTATCCTACAATACTGTAAAGGGTTCTTGAGAGATTTTAGTCCTGAATACTTCAATTGTCATAAAATTGTCAGACCTCATAACTTACCACTCATTCTGAATAATGGAAAAGACCTTGGATGGGTTTATGATGAGATTATTGCAGTATTGGTGTGAAATATTCTGCCCCACCTTCCATCTCTGTTTTCCAGAATGAATCTATTCTTACACTATTTGGTACCCATTGAACCTGTACTCTCAAATTCTTGGACAAGATCGTTGGACATTCCATTTTAAACTAAAATTGACATTTTCATTTCCTGCTCGCTCTAAGGCATATGTCAACAGTGAGGTACTGGATGTTCACAATCCAGGTTAAAGGCATTGTCCTGTGACTAGAAATCATTAAACCACATGACTATAAAGAAATATTTACCTACAATTAAATGGAATTTAGAGTTGACCTATTGGTGTGGGTCATTTGACAGTTTCTATGTCAATAGCAGCCAAAACCAGTTGCTTCAGAAGTGATCTGTTACAGAATAATCCTGGTAAACGTGACATTGCTTTGCTTTCCTGAATCTCTTTCCTTAATAATTGCCTAATGGCATGTGCCTTCATAGAAAATACTTTTTCCAATTGGAATTGAAATTCCTCATTTTCTAGGTACATTTGGATTTAATTTTCTTCGTTGCATTTCTCTGTCTCTGTGCTAACGTGCAGATTACCTAACTGATCTTGTAAAGCATTATGTAGTTGCAGTGCTGTGAGCTGGAAACATGCTTCTGAGAGAGTAGGAGCTATTGTTCTTCAATTTTTTTTCTGTTAAAATAAACAAATACTTTTTTGATATAATAAAGTACGAAGAGATACTTTGATTTAACCTTTCAGTGTTGATCTAATTAGTTAAAAAACATGCATAATGATTACTTGGAAAAATAAACCTTTTTGTGTAACACGCTTTTGTGTGTGACACTAGTGCAATATTTGTGGCAGAAGCGTAAAGTTACTATGTTGTGTTCATCTTAACACATAAGGACCTAAATCTGAGACTAGTATAGAATATAGATTTTTAACAAATAAATTAAAACCAGTGGAAAACTACTAATATGAGAGCTTTAAGGATAATTAGCATTTTTTGGTAATAAAGTAACCTAATTTTCTCAGTTCAGCATTTTTAGGGAAACCACCTACATGAGTGAACGTGACGCAGGAATACATCTGTACAGAATAACAGTACTCTTGCTCTCGGTTCAGAAATGCCTTTCTCTCTGCTAGGTATGTTCAGCAGATATGCTGAACATCTGCATCTGTGTGGATGCTGTTCTAATCGCATTTATGATAAAGAATATTGCTGGAGGGAGGATTCTTGCTTGTCACATGTGTCCAGAGATGCAGGCAGAAGAAATTGGCCGGTTGAGTCTGTGTTTGAGAAGGAACCACTTGAGTAGCACACTTGGAATGAGTCAGCTTAGCAACTTCATGTCAGCAGACATCAGCATGATGACACAGCTAAGGCAGAGTGTGCTATAGCCCATTTCTTTCTGCTCTGGATCTTGGTTCAGAAGGGAATAGATCCGAAATAGTTGGAAATCAGCTGAGGGAAGATGGAGCGGAGTGGTAAATCGTATCAGCCCTACAGGTGAGCGTGTAGATCAAGGGCAAGTGGGGAGAACAAGTGGTACAGCCCTTGCCTGAGATCTGGAGCCAGGAACAACCTAGTCAAGACTGAGTGAATGATGAAAATACCACACCAAGGTAAATGGTAGGTCTCACACAGCTTTTACTTGCTACTGTAAGCCAGAGGCCAAGAGTCATAATGCAACATATTTCTGTAGTTCATTTCCTACACAGATCAGGCAGAACTTTTAGAAGTATCTTAGTCCATTTTCAAAAGACACATAGTTATACATACCATATTTGAGATGGATTTGGGTTTGTGAGTCACATAAGTAAGCTAGTATATTTTATCAATCTCAATATGTTTTAATGCTTAGGAAATAGAGGGAATGTCCAGTATTTTTACAGTAAAAAAAAAAAAAAAGATTTTGTTTTCATGAGTTAAAACTTAGCTTGGTAGGGAAAAAAGTTTGGATAATCAACTTCCCACCTAAAAATACATGTTTTTAATGTAAAAGGATTTTGTAGAAACCTCTCCATTTTTGGACAGGTGTGTGTCCGTTTCTGGGGAGGTGGAGGGGATTGCCAGAAAGTTAGGGAAATAAATCCCTTTGTGCAGTCAAGACTGTCAAAGCATTCTTTTTAGGTGTTTGGGTTCTCCTAGTGTGTACGTGAACACTTCAAGAACATTTGCAACATCCTGCTGAGATAGACCAATGATCCATGTAGCACAGCATTCTGTCTCCTGTGGTGGCACTAGAAGATGCTATTTAGGAAGAGTCTGTCCA